CCTTCTTTTTTTTTTTTTTTATGCTTTTGGTTTTACTTTTGAATGAAAATATGACACTAAATAGGATTTAATGGAGAAAAAGGATTCATGTAGCCGACCCCACGTAGTGGGATTAAGGCTTTGTTGTTGTTGTTGTTGTTGTAGATGTTATTCCAACTGCTCCTGTAATTGATTTATTTCTTAATTTAACTTTTTTACATTGCCATATACCCATCATAATACTTTTTATTGCTCAATGCTCAACTTAACCATAAGTGCAATTTTTGTTGCTCAACATTTGGATTAATATGATATAGCTGATCTAATTATAGCTGGCAAAATTTACTTTCAAGTCTTTAGTTATTTTATTATCTCATAATACTTTTTTAGTCTCTTCTTCATTTTAAATATTAAAGATTAACTATTTCTCCATTATTTTATAAAATATATTTAGGGATACCTAAGCCTCTCTCTCCTTTTTGTCATTTTATCTTCTAATAATTGAATATTATTTACTTAACATCTACTAAAGTTGCTTATAGTATAGTCTATCTTTATTTTACCAATACTAAGCACTCCTTTTTTTAAAAAACTTATAAATTATTCTAATTTTCTTGGCTGCCTAATTGTTGGGTTATTTTGGACTCATTATGTATCTATGCTTCATAAATAGTCAACCCACAGATCTCCTTCCTATTGAATATCGTAGTATTCATATTCTTGATAAATGATAAGATGCCCAAGACTTTCTCGCTTTTGATGTCTAAGGGTTTTTGTTGAATTAGGGATGTGGTGTGAGATCAAAGGCTTCAATATTGACATTTAAGGTCCTTATTAAACTAAAAATTTAGAATTATATCTCATTCTTTAATTTATTGTGGAAATTACATTCCTCTTCATCTTCGAGCATTCGTTATGAAGCAAGCCTTTAGTGCCCCTTAACTTTGTCTAGTGAACATGTAATTTGAGGTTACTCAATTTTTTCATAGATTTACACATCCTTTTAGAATTTACCTAGTCTCTCTAGCGGACAAAACTTTGTTTTCTCCTCCATGTGGATTCTTGAATTTTGGGGACTTTTTAAGGTTTCAACCATTTCTTTTGGCAATAGGTAGATCTTGATGAAGTCGGCATATTTACGCCAGCGCAGATAATATGAGGGCTTCGTATGTAGAATGATTGCTTAATTTGCTTTTTCGACCCATGTATGGTTAGCGTTGCACCATGGCATCATACATTGCTTTTGATGATAAGGTGTATTCGAGTGTATCCATTTTTGATGATCAAGCATTGAAAGCTTTTAGAATAGTTCTAAATGTCCCTTCGATTATTCTATAATTTTGCATCTAATCAATTTTATCATTTATTTCCATTTTATGGCGGGAGAGAGCTCTCGAAGCTTGAGTGGTTCTTATGAGCTATCAGATTCTTCATCCATCTAGATCCCATATCTCAGTTTTATACTTGTGCGGATCCTCAATGATGCGAGAATCATTAGTCTTTTTATTGAACTGTTGCATAGTATGTATTCCTCGATTCTCTTACTTTTTTTTCTGATTTATGCCAAATCTTTTAGTTATTCATTTGAGAGTTGGAGGTCTTTAGTCTTTCTTTGAGAAAAAAATTTCTAATGCTTTGGGAGTTATATTTCTAGAGATGTTGTCAATGTTCCAGATTTATTCTGATGTTTGGCCTCTTCTAAGACACATCGTTTTCGCTAATTATTTGAGAAAACTTTGATTTTAAGCTTTCTTCTACATTTTTAGAGGCGACACTCTCCAGAAACTCATAAAAGCAGTGGGCTTGAAGTTCAGTGATCTTTATGCTTTGCAATTTTGAAGCTTAAGTTCCTGCTTCACTTGGAAGCTTTGTCAAGACCTGGCCCGGTCAGCTTAGAATTACCAAGGCGGGAATTGATATTCGGACAAAGGAAAACTATTTAAAATTTTCAATTCTCAACAAAAAATAAAATCTAAAACACAAAAAAACTTATTCTAATTCATAAAACTTTTATTTACAATAGATTGCTTGTATTTGAACATTTACATTTACATTCATACTGAAAATAAACTATACTACAATACCTATCAGCTTGTGCTCCACGACATTTGTACACGCACTCCCTATGGTTCTTCTGGTTTACAACTATTTTCCTGTAAAAAGTTAGCAACTATCGTTGGAGTTAAACTACTCAGTAAGCAAATGTTTCTAAATTACAACAATTCTCATTTTAAAATATTTTATAAAAGAACAACAACAATAAAAGATTTTACAGTAAAAAAAAGAACAGTAAAAAAACCAGTTTCATTTTATTTCATTTATTTAGGGTCTGTTTGAGATCACATTTTGTTTCCTATTTTTGTTTTTATTTTTAGTTTGTTTTGTTTTATTTTTTTTCCTGTTTTCTATTCTTAAAAAATGCATTTGGTACTGTTATGTTTTATATGTTTTTAAAACAAAAAATATTAAACATGTTTGGTTTGATATTTTAAGTTTCTAAGAAAAAAAAAATATTTTTTATAAAACAATTGAGTCGATGTGCGCTCCAGTATTAAATTCTGTCGCCCATGGTGTATACAACGTATTTCTTGCTCCACCTGACACGAAACATCAACTGTGGGCGGGCGGGCGACAAACAGTAGTGACAGGGGGCAGTCGACGGCCGATAAGCAGGCGGCAGAGCCTCCCACAAGCAATGCTCCGGAAAACATGTTTTTAAAATAGCAAAGACATTATTTTTGTGTTTTTAATATTTTGAAAACAAGCCTTGTGTGTTAAAAAAAATGAATAAACAAATACTATTTCTGGGTTTGTTTTCTGTTTTTTATTTTCAAAAATAAAAATTAGAAAACAGAAAGTGGTCCTAAAGAGGATCTTAGGTTATATTTATCATAATTGAGAGTCATCATCTAAATTTATATTTTTTAAGAAAATATACGTTTAACCATTTCTAATCCACCATAAATGTCGACAACCATTTTCGTGCACGAGTACACTGCATTCCTCTACCATTAACATCTAGGGGTGACTCTTATATGCATGTATATATCATATTTTAATTATTTTTTATCTTGCATTTAACATTTAGAAGAAAACTTGCATTTAACATTTAAAAGAGAACATGAACTTCTGCATTTTAAAAAGAAAAGCTGAGAAATAGTAAAAACATGCGTAACTCAACAGAATTATTGCAAAATAAAAACATATTACCCACATCAGCGATGTAGCAAATTGGCCTTTGCTCAATCAGTCTAAACTTTTGGGTCACTTATAGGAATAAATTAAAATATAGGAGTTATATCCTCCATTAAGATCTTAACATTTCATAAATTAACTTTCATGGTTCTATTTTAGATGGCATTCTAATTTTTTTTTGGCATGTTTCGTTTAAGAGAAACTTTATCAGTCCTTAAACTTAGGTTTAGCGTTCTTAGTTTTAATTTAGCTTAGCATTAATTAAATAGGAAATTAATGTTTATTTTATTAAAATTAGTTGTCATATCTGAATTTCTTTCCCATACAAATCCTTCTTTTCCTGTTTTAGCCCTTTTACCAATCATTTTAAACAATTGTTGATAAAATGTAAAATCCATTTAATATTAAGTTTCTGAAATTTCATTTTTCATAAATTACAGTTAATAACTTAAACTAAATTAAATATTGCGTGTTTTTAAACCATTGCCTTGACCAAACTTGTCGAATCGAGCAGGTAAGGGTTCGTTCGAGCCCTCCCTCCCACGCAGAAGGATCCCACAAGCCAGCCTTCTCCCTCGTCTGCGAACCGCACAATAGGGCTCTCGTCGGCCCTTCCTCCCTCTCCCAGCTCTCGATCGAGATTCCTACAGGCCGCACGATCTCTCCTTCCTCTTCTTTTCACTTAGGTAGGTCTCAAGAGCTACGCCGAGTGTGTCACGATTCGCTCTAGCACTTCAGTTAGTCAATCGAAATTTCTCTTCTTCTTCCCCCTTTTCTTTGATGCTCGCGGAACTTGACAGAGCTGTTCGAGCTTTCTTCCCTTAAAGTTCGATCACTAGCAGTGAAGGAAATGATCAGGTAATTCGCTCGCCTCCTCTACCTTCTACCTCTCCTTCCTCTGCTACTTCTTCTCCTTCTTCAGCTTCTTCTTCCTCTGTTTTTCACAGCTTACTTTTTCTCTCATGACTCTCGCTCTCACATTCTTTGCCTCTCTCGTTGAGTTCAAATGAGAGATGGGTAAAAATCCTCGTTTTAATGCTCTCATGAGCGGTGCGGGTCTTGCTAGAACGACCAGCACAACAAGTGTTGTTACTAACGAAGTTTTTTTTTTGGGGTTAATTAATTTAATTTAATTTTTTTTAAATTTGTTTTTTGTTTCGCTTCTAAAGCTTACACATCATTATATGCAAATTATAATGATTCTATGAAACAACTAGCTCAAATTAGTCTTTTATTTCATCCACTCTTGGATAAAATACTTCTTTTTAATTATTTTTATCAAACAATCTTTCTTTTGTAGGGCATAAACTGTTATTTTGTTGTAGTAAATTTTTTAGGACTCGAGTGTACATGATTCCTTATTTGAAAAAAAAAAATCTACGGTTATCCAAAGCTTTGCTTGATTGGTTTTTGGTCATTCCCATTTTGACCTCTGACTAGTATAATCGTACTTTGGTATTAAATTTTGGTCCATCAGACTAACATTAGGCAATGTTATATTTCCACCTCTCTATAATTCTGCTTATTTTTAAGTTTCTGCTTGTGAATTTTTAAATTTATTCTTCTGAATACTATTAATAGGGCCTAAACATAAATTTATGAAACTGATACTATTTTCGGCTATCTAGTGTTCACTTCTTCAAATATTAACTACTCGTGAAATTGCAAATAACAAATTGTACTGATAATGCAATATCGACATTTAAGTTTTTTTATATTTCTATTTTCCTTTCAAAATCAGCGATCTAGTTGAAGTTGTTTGACTTGCTCGTGATATCTTTGTGCAGAGGGAGGATGGAATAAAACTTGTTTGTGAGGCCATATGCTCTGGTATCTTCAATGATTTGGGAAGCGGAAGCAATGTTGATGTTTGTGTGATAACTAAGGTATTTCCTTTTAACCACCCTTTTGTGAGTAACACATCATTTATTCTTTGTGGCATTTACTTACATATTTCCCAATTCCTATGTATTTACATATCTAACATCTAAATTTTACTTTTTACATTTATACTACCAAAATCCTTCATATCATATAAAAAATATCACTTTTTTAACTATTTAGAAGTGAAATACACCTCATATAAGGTGGCATATGTCAAAATTGAAGTTTAAGTGTTAGATATGTAAATACATATGAAATGAAGTATGTATGTAAATGTTCTTATAATTTTTTTCTTCTCGCCTGTTCATTACAAAACAGGGCAAAACAGATTATTTGAGGAACCACCAGTTACCAAATCCTCGGACATATATTAGTTCTAGAGGCTACTCTTTCGCTAAGGGCCATACTGGTAAGAACTTTTAATTACTTTTAATAAAAATTTCATGTGTTCTTGGTGTATGCAAATTGAGTGGATTATGTTAATCTAATTAAATAATATTTAAATGTTATTTATCTTCAAAATTATAGTGTTTTAATTTTTAGAATATAAATATAAATTTTTGATATTTTGCTCAAAAGTTTTCGGATATGAAACTTAAAATAATCAATCTATATATTTAGTATATATAAAGTTCACAATTAAAGAAAATCTCTTTAAAATACTTTGATTATTTTTAGATTATATATTTGTTTTTGATTTTGTTTTTTTTGATATTGTTTGTTGATTGGTACTTTGCATAACATGAGAAGAAATTTAGCTTGAGGCTACAACAACAACAAGACTTTATCCCACTAAGTGTGGTGTTAGCTACTTCAATTTTTTTCTCCTTTGTGTCCTATTAAGTTTTATATTTTCATTTAATTCTAATAAATTATATGGTTTTTAATACGACATGCTTAATTCTTTTTATGTCTACCTCTACTTTTCTTAGCATAAGTTAAATCTAAAAAATCTACTTTCCTAACTGGGTCATTAGATGGTCGAAGTTTAATGCGACCAAACTATCTAAGGCAACTAATCTTGTTTGCCACTGGAGCTACTCCAACCCTTCTTCAAATATATTCGTTTCACAATTATGTCCTAGTGCAAACTGCTCACCCGCCCGAGCATTCTCATCTCAACAATACTTAATTTCATGCTTCTATTTTACAGGCCAACATTCTGCACCTTAAAACATTACAGGTCTCACCACCATCTTATTAAATTTTCCTTTAAGCTCAGACGTTACTTTTTTTATCACACAATAGATCCGATGCATTTCTCCTCTTCAACCATCCGACGTGATATGTACCAATAACTCCCTATCTATATTGCCATCACTATGAGCAAAAAACCAGATATCTGAAACGTTCACTCCTTTTCATGACTTGATCACAAATTGTTACAACTCTGCCCTTAGATCTATTATTACTAAAATTATATTCAATGTATTCAGTCTTAGTTCTACTCAAAGGAAAGCCTTTAAACTCTAAAGTTGACCTCCATAATTCAATTTTTCTTGAACTCCTCTAATTTTATGCAGAAGAAGGATATCATCGACGAAAAGCATACCACTAAGGCACATCCTCTAGTAAGAACATCCATAAGTACGACAAAAAGATATGGGCTTAAACTCGATCCTTGATGTCATCCAACCGAAATAGGAAAAATACTTGGTCAATTCTCCTTGTGTTTGAAAATAAGTAACAACTCTAGTACACATATCTTTAATTACTTGAATATAAGTAATATCAATATTTTTTTCTTCTAGAACTCTCCTAAGCTTTTTCTGAGACCTTCTCATAGGCTTTCTAAATCAACAAAAAAGTATTTATTGAGATGTTTGATAGGGAAGTACAGAGAGAGGATATATATATATATATATATATATATAAAAAATACAAACACACACTCAGATAATGAAAGATAATTATGTAGGAGGATACACCTTGACTTTGTATGTGGAAAATCATGAAAAGGGGAAAAAATCATAGGGCTTAGCCTAATTGAAATACAACATATAGATAAGAAGACAACAGTATAATATGTAAGCTGTATTATTTCTATTAATGGATAGAGTTCCTAAAGTCTCTCCTCCTTTTTTACTTTGCAGAGGTTTTGTCAACAAAGATCATTCCGCTGAAACCAAAAGTGGAGGTAGTTGCTGAGGTTGATGCCATGGAAGAAGAGTAAGGCAGATTATTTTGCATCTGCTGCTGCTGCTTGGCTTTGTTTTTAGCTTAATCAATGCATCAAATTGTGCCAACAAGATCTTTCCTTCGAATATTTATTTCCTTGAATTCTCTTTTGTTTCGTGTTATGCTTATCTTTTATCCAACAGAGTCAATACTGATAATTTTTTATCTTGCTCTCTGCTTTGAATATATATATATCCTTTAGTAATTCATTGTGTATCTCAGCCAGAATCACAAAATCTGCAGATTGTGTGCACAAGTTAGTCATGACATTGATTAAATAGTACTTAAATAATGAAAGAATGTGGATGACATAAAAAATTGCAGTGCTTGCTTTGTCACCTTATTTTTTTGGTTTAAGTATGCCAAGAAAAGAATGATTTATTTTTAATAAATCAGAAAATTTATCGAACTGAACATCCTAATAAAATAACCTCCACCTAAAAGTAGTTGGTCAATCTAAATAAGCGTCTATTTGGGGCAGTTGTAGCGGTTTGAAGAAGCAGTTATGAAATTGTTAAAGGAGAAACTGTTATTTAAAACACTGTTTTGATTATTACAAATTTATTTTAATTTAAAAAAAAAAAATATCGCAGCTTTCTGGCGACACAACACTTTAACATGTTAGGTTGAAAAAAAATAATGTTCTATCACAAAAATTATTAAAAAGTAACAAGAAAGGAGTTTCCTATATAGAGCTTCAGAGACGGTTTGAAAAGTAAAGTAGCTAGAAAGCTGCACCAAACTAATCATAAGCCTAAAAGGTGATTTTAAATTTTAGAATGTTACTTGAAATATAAAACAAAATGTCAAAAGCTTACATGTTTATATCCAAATCAATCTTCTCTCAATAAGCTCTCAATGAGAGGAATTCAAAGAGCCCAAGAGTACTTAACTTGAGGTCATTAAAACGTTGATATATTAAAAATATGATCTATAACTACATGAATTAACATAAGTTATGGGTTAGTGATATGAGATTTTGATTAGGTTTACATAAATATTATCACTCATAAGTATAAAAAATGCCTCATACATGATTGAAAGTCAGCTAGGAGGTAGTTCATTATTGTATGTTAAGCATTTTTAAGACTTTTACCAACAGGATTAATTAGCACTCACAGCTGCATAATATCTAGTTAATTATTAAATAAAATGAAACTCAAAATTAAGCTCAAAATGATATTTTAATGAAGCTCATAATTAACGTATGTTATGAGATTATGCTTGAAAAAGTTTAGCTAACTTTCCTTCATGGCCGCCTATAAGAAGGAATACAAAAATTTAGAGAAGTAATCGTATAGCCTGAGGAGCTTTATCTTTCACGGTCAAACGTTCTTAATTGTATGCATTTCAGTCTATTTACAACGTTGTTTTTGGCCATTCTTTGAAATTGTCACAACAAAGCATGCATGATTAGTGTAATTGAATTATAATTTAATATTAAACATTGTAATTAATGCTCGAATATTGAAACATTTTAATCATTGTTGCATGCAACTTGTAAATTAATATCTCATGCAGGTACTAATCACCACTGTACATGTAGGGCTAAAATTTTGAAAATGATTAAAGCTTGTTTGTGAGCATGAGATCTTTCGATGCGAAAGGAAATGCCCGACCACTTGGCCACCATCTCATCCGCAAGCATGCCTATCATTGTACTTTTTATAGATAGGAAGATTGACATACATACCACTCAATTCATGTATTTGCTTATTTAGCTGAATAAGACAAAATTATTTCAAGTAACCTGTCTTCAAATTTTCTCCGAGCTTGTCGTCCCTTTATACTATTAATAGAAAGGAAAAGAAGGTAACTATAGTCATTCTAAAAACCCCTCTATAAAAGAAAAAATAAGAAATCAAACCGTCATCTATCTATATCGTCATGGCTCTCAAAAACACCTTAGCTAGAACTTTAGCTACTCTTCTTTCCTCTTCTATACTCCTACTCCTCAGTGCATCATCCTCCTACACAAACTTTGGCAATGATCTAAAAAATGGAAAAAGAAAACTTACCGTTAGGGACTTCTTATCAATCAAACAACTATAAATTTACAATGCAAAATGACTGCAATCTAGTGTTGTATAGCAACGATAACATTATCTAGGCGTTAAACAGTCTTGAAATGGGTGTCAAGTGCACCTTCCATTAAGTGGGCAATGGAGAGCTCTTAAGCATTTCTGCTTCAGGTTCCATGGCGTGGAGTAGCATACGAGAAGCACACCCTTATTCCACAACCAAATGGGAATGTTGTGCTATAACCAAGCACACTGTGGTCTACAAGTACATTTGCTCCAATTAGGGTTGGCCAAGCTCCACCAACAAAGTTCCCTAATGAACAAACTAAAATTCCATTTGTGAACACTTCTTAAGAACAAGACTTAATTCAACAGAAGGAAGAAGGTGTTGCAATCCATATGTGCACCTTTGAATAAGAGTGATGATTGATTGCTTTGACTAATATTGATAATTGTGTTGTTTGATTCTAAGATTAATTTGAATCAATTGCCTTAATTAAGAAAACGCTTGACACTATGATACCATATAAAGTTATAAGTTATATCTTTAAGTGTTATTAAATATGAAATTTTAAAAAAAGATTTGCATCGTGATATTAATGATCAAATATTTACTTCTTTTATTGAGGATAGTAGACCATAGTTCAAGTTTTATATGAGATTGACCTGATCTAAAACTGCTTAACACTAATTTGACTGAAAAATTAAATGAGCTAGAAAGTCAACTGAATACAACCACCACAAACTTGATTAACGTAAGTTGACACACATAACATACATTTAATATATGCATAATAGTTAGTTGGGCCAGATCAGGACAATTTCCAGCTAAGTTCGTGTTGGCGGGTCACACTATTATCAATTTTGGATTGACCGGAGCTCTGGGCTAGCAAGTCAACCTCAATCTGATCCAAAAGATTAAACATACTAGAATTTTGAACCGAACCGAATCTGAAAATTAGTTCGAACAATCCAAACTTAAATTTTGGAGTCAGATTTGAATTGAGTAGACACATAGGGTTAAAATTTGGCCCGTCCAACGAAACCAGATCATACATTATTGGCACTCTTATTTGGGTAGAAACCATCCAAAAAATTAAAATTTGTTATTATTTTTGTAATGATAGTATTAAAAATAAAATATCAATGATAATAATAATAATAATAATAATAATAATAATAATAATAATAATTGTAGTTGTATAAAAAAGAATTACTATTATTTGTTTTTTTTTGGATAAATAGAACCTTTAATTTGATCACAAATTAAAATAACTGTGATAATTCACTTTAAAGAGAGTTTAAGAGGTTGGAAAGTCCCAGTAGTTTCATGAACTTATTAGACTACATGGACATAAATTAATTTTTGTTTAAAAGGTGCTATTGCTGCTATTTTTTTCCTTATCCTACCATTCAAGCTGGATATCATGAACTGCGGCCAGCTCGCTACAACGAGCAACCACTTCCCAACCACGAACTGCCAGAAACGACTTCGTTGAGAGTCTCAATGGCTGATAGTGGAAGCCATACAAAATAAGGAGGATTTCATGAAAGCACCGCCATTGAGGAATTGAGCCACCAATGGGATCCAAAAACGTACCGTGCTTACCATTGAGACCATGTACAAGGAATGCTTACCATTGAGACCAGTGCGATAAATTTTGGACGAGCCTATCCTAGCTCATGCCATCGACTTAGTTGGCATAGTTCTTGCCATCTTCAGAGGAGGAGATTTATTCCATCGAGCAAGTTTGAAGAGGCTTCAGTCAAACGAACTATGAAAAACCATCATCGCAATTAGATGCAACGCACATCCCCCATCACTTTTACCGAAACGGATCTGCCCCTCCGGAGAAAATCCCTACAATGATGCCATCATCATCACAACGCTAGCTAATTAGCAACTACCAGATAAGTAACATCCTTATTGACATCGACAGTTAATGAATATCTTATTCAAAGCGGTGTTCAATAAGATGGGTCTCATAAAAGACCTACTGACTGCCGCAACAAACCCACTATATGGCTACTCTGGTGAGATGAAGAAAGCCTTAGGAACCATTTCCCTCTCAATTGCTTGGGGGAAAACTACAAGCAGTTTACGAGCACAGAGGATTCCTTGGTAGTCGACTCACAAACAACTTATAAAACCATCTTCGCTGCCCTTTGCTTAATAACTTCAAGGCTGTTACCTCTACGTATCACGTAGCGGAAAAATTTTCTAGCGACGGAGGGGCGATCATCGTCCAAGATAGCTTGGAGTAACTCCATATCTGCTACCTCCGGGTGATTGGAAGTGCCAAGTAAGAGCCGCTCATGATCGGAAATCTGCTCAAGAGAGGTTTCGAGACCAGTGAGATCACTCATCAAGCTCCAACGACCGAAATCGAGCCCAAATTTTTTCTTTCTAATCAATGAATATTTTGATGCATGGCGAGAGAAACACTGTCCATAGAAAAGCATTTGAATGCCTACTTACTTAAATGAGGAGACACAAAACAAATATAGGATATCAAAAGAATTCCTTCATGCCCTATTTATAATAATCATAGGCGTAAAATAGCAAAGAGTTCACTTATTGAAGCTCTGATTATTAAATAAATGATATTTAATTTTAAATTTATGTCTCTTATTCTTATCATAATGTCACTTTCAAGAAGTAACTGATATAGCTAAAATATGTATAGATGATATTTTTTCAGCACAAATCTCAAGGAGATCTAACAGTCCAAAAGAGAGAAAGTATAACAAATGAGGGTCCATCAACAAAAGATCTGCAGAGGCCCCACTTATCTAATTAGATACAACCATCTGAGCTATGGACCAAGACTAACCAAGTTAGGAGAAAGATAGAAAGAACGATCCGAGTCTGAGATGACCGGACTATAGCATGATGAATAAGCACCCAAGCTGACAAGTCAAGTGAAGGCATCTATCTATCTATCTATCTATCGACAGATCCAATTCGAGGAAAGAATTAAGTTCCTTACTATCAACAGTCTTCCCACATACGCTTTCAAAATGCATCATCAAGATATGAGAATTGGTAATGCAATAGATTTTCACAGTCATTCCGAAGGATTTTCTCATCGAAGAATGATCCATCTGTCAAGTCAGGACGACTCACCCTGTGCTCGATAGCCTAGTTTTATTCTACAAATTGGAGCACCTCGTATATGGATCAAAGTTCGGTAGTCAGACTAGATCAACTGATTGATAAAATCTAGCCAACGAAGTCAGTCATGCAGAACCGAAGCAAGTCAAGGTCGACCCTCCCAACTAAACTGACTCAACCTATCCAACTGAATCGGCCTTACCGAGTTGAAGTCATCCTAGCCTAGCTAACCAAGTCAAAAGACAGTTGAGCAATAGGCTCATACATGTAAAATACATATGATATCTTGTAACGGACTCCATTAAAGCAGATGTTGAAATATAATATCACATATTGTGCCATCTCTCCTTTAAATAGGAAGATCATTTATGAGAAAAGGGAGATAGGCAAGATGTTCTAGTGCTCATTTCTCGTAGTCTCTCTCTCCTTTCTTACGTTGTAACTTAAGGTGTGATTCACGGACAAATTAGGATTCAACATAAATATAAAAGGTTCAACTTATAATAATTTAGAAATAGAATTATTAAATTAATTAGTTTTATTAATTAGGATGAGAATATAATAATATAAGATTTATGTAATATATATTTGTTATTTTTGATATTGGATTAATTAGAAGGTGGGACACGCTCCATCATATGACTAGATCGCCAGGCACATGCACAACATAGACAATTAAATTTCACCTTTTTGTAGAGAAAATACTATGTCCACACAACATAAGTTCGGACGACGGCATGGATGACACCACATCGCTTTGCAAGCGGCGTCATGCGATCCACGGCATCGTCAGGATAAACGGACGTAAGAATGTCATATTTTTCCTCTTCGCATGAGAAAACTTCTTTCAAATAAGGGAAAAGGGAAGATTAGACTTTTGTCATCACTCTGTAAATTTCTTTGGCCAGAATCACATGCCTTTTCTTACAGTATCAACGCTCTTATTTGGTCGGAAAGTTATTATTATTATTATTATTTTGTTTTCGAGATATCAAACACAAAACTCTTTCACTACAAACTAATACGACTTTGTGTTTCTCCTAAATTTCCATACACTTCTTGGACCTTATGCAGATAAACTAATTTTACTTCGTTTTTATATTCAGTACCTAATAGATATATGATGAACTTTTTATGGTAATGTTATGGTTCATCAGCTGTAAATGTGTTCTTTAGCTGAAAAATAAATAAAAAAAATTATAAATTATAACAACGAGATGAATAAATCCAATCAATACCACATACATTCCCAGTCCATTCCATAACAACAGTATCAAATAACAAAAGTTTCCAATTATTCTGTATATTATTTTCATTAGTTTTTTTTTTCCTAATCATGCCAGCCCTCATGCATTATAAATAGAAACGACAACAAAGCAGCTAAAGATCATAGCAAGTATAACCATAGCATCCATCCTTCTAAAGGGAATCTCTCATCATGGCTTTCAATATTGCCTCAGCTGGAACTTCAGCCACTCTTCTTTCCTCTTCAATCCTACTGCTCCTCTTCATATCATGCTCCTCCACAAGCTTAACCAATGTTCTAAAATCTGGTGAAAAACTTTTCAGTGGGGAATCCTTATCAATCGGCAGCTATAAATTTATAATGCAGAGTGATTGCAATTTAGCGTTGTATGACAATGATAACGCCATGTGGGCGACGAACACAGTTGGATTGGGCACCCAATGTAGACTGCATGTGCAACCCGATGGTGAGCTCATCATCTTCTCTGGTTTGAGAAGAATGATATGGAGAAGCGAGACCGGAGGGGGATTTGGCAAATACGCTCTTGTGCTCCATCCAAATGGAAATGTTGTGCTCTACACAAACCCAATGTGGTCCATTGGCGAACTTATTCAGATTAAGATTACACATGCTTTATCCAACTCTACCTCCGAGAACCCTTAGAAAGATATAATGTCGGCTAAAAGTTAGTCTCTACACCTACCCGCATGCATGTGTTAGTTTCAATAAGTCATCTTTGCGTCTTCCTGCTAAGTTTCTAAGTTTGTATCAGCACTATGTTCGTCGAGCAATGTTGTTTACACTACTTGCTTTCCAAGTGAATTTGAATCTATTGCCATAAATGATAAGAAATTTTTGCCTTTAAGATAATATAATTTTGAGATACAAGGAAACTTAATTTATACATTTGAGTGAAAATAAATCATTAATTTTTTTTCCTACATATGATTTAGGGGAGAGGGGGGATTTAGAAATATATGATATTTAGTTATCTAATACTTTAGTGTCACAAGCACATCAACGATTGATCTGATTTTCAATAATTAGATAATTCCTCGGCAATAAGTAAAGGAGTTCACTTCTCAAAATCCTCACACAATCCATCGCACCCTGGAAGAAATAGGGAAGGCTAGGCATGAAGCCGAAACAAACTTAGCCTTTATATGCCTCACAATGACCAACATAATTACCCTTCAAAAGAAAAAAAAAAAAAAAAACCAACATAATGACAATAAAGCCTGGGACACTTTACCTATATAAAAAATAGTGAATAATAAGAGGTGTAATAGATTGAAAGAATTAATACTTAGTTTGCACAACCCAGCAAGAAGATCATGGACTCCTCATCATTAGCATCCCCACAAATAATAAAAAAATCTATCAACTCCCTCAATCGAATGAAGAAGACGAGCATACATCCACCTCATCACCAACATCAACAGCAAGACGATCATGGAATGCTCAAATCCTAAAACACTTTATGTGCACGCGCGCGTGTGCCCATTGGTGGCCTGTTGGTTGGCAGGTCAACGCAAATCCCATCAACTCCGGGTTTGAGCCTCGATTCAAATTTATACATGGCGAGGGGGCCACAATGCCAGTCCATTCCCTTTAATATATATATATATATATA